AGGTCTGATGGGATCTGACAGACTCCAAGTGATAACCTGAATCGGAGCCCAAAGTCAGATAAACTTCCCCCAGCTTGTTGTCGGGAGCAGTTTGGGCACATCTTACCATAGATGCATCTCACAGATCTTGGACTCTGAGACAGTTCTAGGCCTGCCTTTGCACTAGCTCACTCTCTGACCTTGGGCATGCTGCTCACCTTCTCTAGGCCTCCGTTTCCACGTCTTTACCACGAGGGGCTTGACTCAGAGCTGTATTTCAAAGGAGGAAACTACCTCAGGGCACTAGGCCCCCAACTTCAACAGGGAAGCCCCCCATTTGTGCTACATAGTGGACTTCCACTAACATTTTGTGTGAAGTAAGTTTTTTGTGGCTGTAAGATTAAAATCCCAATGGCCTTCTTCCTTTCTGAATGATTCTAGAAGCCCATGGTTCCCTCCTAAGCATTGTTCAAAAGGAGGTTGGTAGGGCTGTTCTGTCGGAGGTTTAACAGCGCTGCCCTCTTATTGGTGCTTTCCACCCCAGATCTGCCTGGATCTTTAGATTGTTTCCTTCGGTGATGTGTTCTGGCCAATCCTTGTATACTGTTTCTGTGGATTTTGTTAGAATTCTACAAGGACAGGCCATGGTACCTGTTTCTTTGGGAATAACACCCACAAAGTTCAAGTTGTTCAAGCCATTGCGGTGACTGGCACTAACCGGGAGAGCTGGCCAGTTAGTGTTTTTCATTCGAATCCCTTTCCTTCTCAGAAGCTCTTGCACAAAGGTCAGATTTCAGGCTGTAGCTTATGGAACTTATTTCAATACTTACCATCAACTTCACATTAGATCACAGTGGGACCCATATTCCACACGTTATAAGTTAGCCAGGATCTGTCATCAAAACTCAGACACTCTTTTCCCGAGTCTACTATCAATGAACTGTGACCTTGGGTACGTCACTGACCTTCTCTAGGCCTGAGTTTACACATTTGCTCCATGAGGAGATTGGACTGAAGGTGTCTTAGAAGTTCTTTTGGCTCTAACATTCAATGTTTTCACGTAACATCAGCTACTTTCCCCTCCGACAGTGGCAGTTATATTACGAAAACGGAAGAGGGAGAGTCCTGGCCCATCCATGGATCTCCATTTTCCCCACAACTGACATGAGGAGACCCCATCCCATGTCTCCAAGTTGGGGTGGCGGTTGAGGGGAGTTGGTAAATAATTTATTGGGTGCTTTGATGAGAAGAGGAGCTTGATGAGGCTGACGAGTATTGATTGTCATGCCTTCCTCCCCCCGGCCAGTTCTGGGGACAGACATGCTGACCTGTTGGTGGTCGAATGGCCCCTTCTTGTAAAGGGTAAAGGTGACCTGTTCTTCGGGTGCCTGCTATTTCATGTTAACTCTTCTTGCTCCAATTGAAACGCAGGGCTCAGAGCACTGGGTATTTATAGAGAGGAAGCACACTAGGCCAGAACAACTCTGTCTCCTAAAAGTGGCCGCCATGCAGCAGGAAGAAAGGGAGGCAGGCCTTGCAGATATCCTCGCCGATGGCAGACTCTCCAAAGTGGATATCCTGGTGGACAAGTTCAAAGTTGAAGTGGCCACAGAGGAAATGGTGGGGGCCGGAGGAGCAAGCACCCAGCAAAAAGGACGAATGATCGCAAGCCCTGAAGACTTCGAGTCGCTGTGGGAGGAGGGCCCCCAGGTCGGGAACGGCCCTGGAGGGGATTCCCTGGCTGCGGGCTGCACTCTGGCAGAAAAACTCTCCGAGGGCTCCCAGCTCAGAATGGGCACCGGGGAGGCAACCACCAGGAAGCGCCGGGTCTCAGGTCAGTTGGAGAGCCAGGTGGAGCTGAGAAAGGAGCTGGCGGAGATCCAGACCGGTGAGAGGCTCACGGCCGTGGGGGCCAGGCCAGCAGAGGCGGGTGTCTCCTCTCCAACCTCTGACCAGGGAGGCCTTCAGTCGTTTCTGCTAGACCCAGCCCACGAGGAAGACAGAGCCGACTCGAGTGACGAGACCGATACTTCCTGTGCAGAGAGGAGCTTCTATTTCAACTATGGAGAGAGAGATTTTGAAGACCAAGTCCTCCCTCCGCTGTTGGAGGAGAGAGGAGAGCACCCTAAAGCCCCTCCTGGAGATGAGGCCAGGCGGGAGCTCCGGGGAGAGCCTGCAGAGAGCTCCGAGCTTAGGGCCTCCGACCAGTGGGGCTCCCTGGCAGCTTCCAGAAGGAGCAAGGATGAAGACGGTGAAGGCCACACAACTTCCTTGGAGGAAGGGGTGAGGCCTCCCAGGAACCACGGAGGACCCAATCTCCCGGAGGCCTTTGACCAGCAGCTCGGTAATGGATCTTCTCCAGGGCAGAGATTGGCTAAGGATTGGGACGAAGCAGGGTGGGGGGTGGAAGGAGAGTTTACCCACCCAGCATCTGCCATGACTGCAGAGGAAGAGGCCCCCAGGAGTCAGGATGTGATGGGAAAGGCTGAGAAAAGTCCCCCGGCAGCATGGAGGCACCACTCACCTCACAGAGAAGGGGGGGTGTGCCCAGACTTCCCGGCCTGCGCCCTTCCATGGACGCCAGCCAAACCGGACAGAGACAACGTCTTGCCCCAAGGCAGGGGACCGGTTCACACCCAACCAGGACCACCCGTGAGGGAGCACAGCAAGGCTCACACAGAGTTTCTCCAGATGGAGGTGATCAGCCCGCTCCCAGCCTCCCGTGGTCCCTTTCAGGCTCCTCCTGAGGACGCGCCTGCGAGCCCCGCCCCTCCTGGGTCAGGGGAGCCTTTGCAACTTGGGGATCCCTTTGGAGAACAGCCCCCCGTGTTTCTCAGAGAGAGCCCAGAGCCCAAGGACCAAGCAGAGCCTGTTGTGACTCCGGACAGAGGTGAGCGCAAGGCACCTCCCGTTGCCAGCCGGAAGCGCAGAGTTGTCCTGGAAGAGGTTGAGGGGGTTGCTGCTCTGAGGTCGGGGCTCCCTTCAGGGAAGCTGAAGATGACGCCTTTCCAAGCTGGGGGCCAAGAGGGCTCCCTGGAAGACATTAGCAAGACCTCCGTGGCCAACAAAATCTGGATCTTTGAGACCCACGGAGCTGAAAGCCGGCGAGTGAGTCAGGGTGAAACACGGGCCCTGCCAAGTGAGCTGTCTTCAGAGGCCTCCCGAGGGCAGGCAGAGCAGCAGCAGAATAAGCTTTTAGACCTGGGCTTCGTCCCACTCCAGCCCCCAGAGGACACGGCCGGCCCTGATGCCATGCATTCCTCCGTGATGTCACCCACGACCAGCCACTTCCGGGAGGGCGTTCCTCCTGCACCCCACCAGGAACTCGAGCTCATGTCTCCCGACTCGGGCTGTGAAACCACGCTGGAGGAAGCCACTGGGGGAGCTGGCCACGTGAGCCCCCACTCCCACCGCTGCCCCCAGCGGGGCAGCGAGCGCATGCTGTGTAGCTTTTTAGAAGCATGTTCAGTGCCCTCGTCATTAGTGCAATCCAAGGCTGCTTGTCCATCCCTGTGAGTTCTTGACCCTGAGTGCAGCCCAAGCAGAATGCAGGGGTCACCTGCTTGGTCCATGTGAGCTTAGCCACACACCCACAGCTTTTGGTGTGATCTGGAGCCCAACGGGCCACATTGACGCAGTGGAGAAGGTGGCACCACTGCCAGCAAACTACATACTCGCTTTGCCTTGCTGCCCCCACCTGCTGGGTTCCTACCCGTTGGCTTGGCTCATCCTTTCCTTTCCCTGGTTCTCCTGCCTTGGGGAAGCTACAGTCCAGAAGTTTCCATCCATCACTCGTGCTTCCCGGTGCCCAGAGCCTTTCTGCCTCCTTAAGACTAACTGTCTTCTCTAATCCAGAACAAATCCGGAGATGCAGTCAGGGAAGAGAAGCACCTCACCAGTTTAGCAGCAAACCCCCCTGGGAAAGGGGGGCGCCTGAGATTCATCAGCCCCTCGGGCCCTCAGGTCTCTGCAGCCCCTTGGACTCCCAATGCCCCCGTAACCCTCGCCTGGCCAGGGTGCCTTAGCCCCCCACCTGCGCTGGCAGTGCTTCTCGTGGCAGCTCCACTCTCGTGGCTTGTCTGAACGTGTCCTCACACCTCTCAACCTTCCAGAAACTGGCTACACGGATGCTAGTTAAGCAAGTGAATCTCTAAGCGCACTGAATCTCTAGAACCTGAAGCCGTGTACCTTAAACACACGTGGTGGGTGTTAGATTGGTTTTTTAAGGAGGAGTGTCATGAACCAGCCCCAATGTATGTGTGGTGTTTTATCCCTGACAGGCCAGTTGAGAGGTATGTATGTCAGACAAGAGCTGCTGGTTCCCTCCGGCGCTTCCTTGGCCTGCTGTTGTCAATTACACTGACGGGACCGGAGCCTCCGCTCCAGGGCCTGCCCGTCTGCCCACGCACGGAGCTCAGGGTTGAACTGAGGCAGCACCCAGCTCCCAGGCGTTACCCCGTGTTGGTGCTCCCTCGAGATGCTGACCCCTCCCGCGGGGACTCAGTGGAATTGACAAACCGGTGCTGGCTTCCTCTTTGTTCCTGAAAGCTCCAGCCTCTGCTTCCCCTGCCTGGGTTTCCTGGTCCCTGGGTCTCCCTCCTTGGTTTCTGTCTCTCGAGCCCAGCCTGCACCGATGGGCCTGGGACCCGGGCCCCCATCCCTGCCTTGTGCACAGTGCCGCTTCTCATAAGCTCCCGATCCAAACGTTGGATGGAGCCTCCTGTCCAGGAACCAACTGGCAGGATGTCTGCTTTGTCCTTGCTTTGCCATCATCAGGAGACACCCCCTCTGCCCACGGAAAACAGCGCCCCCACTCTTGAGAACTTTTCGGTTATGTTAAGCTTGTTACGATGTCAAGGAACCTTTCCCCGGGGGTGTTTTTTGTTTCCTGACCTGCTCTTCCGTTTGGGACTTGGACACGGCCCCGAGATTTCTTCTGCCATTTACCATCTTGATTTCTCTCTTTCTCCCTCTCCCTCTCATCCCACACTCCCGCTCCTTTTGATCTTATCTGGCCGTAGAGAGCAGGGCTGAGGGAGGGCTCGGAGGAGAAAGTCAAACCGCCGCGTCCCAGGGCGCCGGAGAGCGACACGGGAGACGAGGACCAGGACCAGGAGAGGGACGCGGTGTTCCTGAAGGACAACCACCTGGCCATTGAGCGCAAGTGCTCCAGCATCACGGTCAGCTCCACGTCCAGCCTGGAGGCCGAGGTCGACTTCACCGTCATCGGGGACTACCACGGCAGCGCCTTCGAGGACTTCTCCCGCAGCCTGCCTGAGCTCGACCGGGACAAGAGCGACTCGGACACGGAGGGCCTGGTGTTCTCCCGGGACCTCAGCAAGAGGGGCCCCAGCCAGGATGACGAGTCGGGGGGCATGGAGGACAGCCCGGATCGCGGGGCCTGCTCCACCCCGGACATGCCCCAGTTTGAGGTACAGTGGAGCAGCATCCCCGAGACGGGGCCCAGCGGGCACTGCATGCTCAGAGGGCCCTGGGCCATCTGGGAGAAGACCGAGTCGCCAGCCCGCAGCCCAGATCCCGCAGGCTGAAGCCGTGTCTCGTGTTGCATGACTGTCCCTCCGCAGAACAGCATGGTTCTGTGCCCGCATGTTTGCCTCCTCGGTTTACCCCTAACGTGCACCCCTTGGCGTTTTAACCCTGTGGACCCACCGCTTGCCTGAGGCCAAGCAGAGACCAGCCGTCAGGTCTTCCTCGATTCCTCCTCCTCCTCCCCCCCCCCCCCTGCTGTGCTGCACGGCACTGCGGAGAGCATGTGCGGTGACACCTCGCAGGGGCCCCGGCCTGGTCTCAGAGTCGGAGGATTTGTCCTGATCCTGGCCTGGGCTCCTTTCCCTGGGGCCCGGGCTTCCTGGGGCAGCTGTGGGAACTCCCAGAGAAGCAGAAACATCATCACCGAGGGAGACACAGGGATATGCTGTCTGGGCTTCTCTGCTTCGTGTCCTTCCTTCAGAGGATCTCTGTTCATGTCATTCCTTTGCTCCCTCGTCTCTTGTAGCCCCAGCCTACCTCCCACCACTCTCCCCTTCCCCATCCTGCAGGCACTGAGACGTGAGCTCATTCACTCAGGCTTTCACTTGAACTGTAGCCTCTGGGTGGAAGGTTATTCCTCCCTTTCTCGGCCTTGCAAATGGGTCATATTCCAGGACAGAGTTCAGATGTCCCTTCCCTAGCAGATGCTTCCCTGACCACCCGGGGAAGAAGAACTGTCCGCTCCACCGCCTCCTGGCTCAGTAATGCTGCTGCTCCCGGTGATATCCCGAGTACGTTAGTGGCTGACAGGTCTGCTCTCCTGCCGGGTGGCAGCTCCTGGAAGCCCACACATGGCAGGCACTAGTAGCTGATTGAGTGAAGGGCTAGATCTCCGGGTACAACCGTCTATAAGAACCCCCTCACCCCTCTCCCAAACAGATGATAAGTTAGCTTTCATTCATTCATGCAATTCACATATGTGGGTACCTGCTCTGTGGATAGCCATGAGCTAGCCCCATGGAGGACGCAGAAGAAACTGATCATTTAATTTATTATTCCTGAGAGCATAAATGTGCAGCTTGTAAACCAGTGGCCCGGGCCAGATCTGGCTAGCAGATGTGTTTTCATATATATATTTGTATTGAATTCAGAGAGAAAGGGAGAGGGAGAGAGAAATAGAAACATCAGTGATGAGAGGGAATCATTGATTGGTTGCCCCCTTGCACGCCTCCTACTGTGGATCAAGCCTGCGACCTGGGCATGTGCTCTGATCAGGAATCAAATCGTGACCTCCGGGTTCATAGGTCAATGCTCAGCCACTGAGCTGTGCCAGCAGGCTGTTTTCTTTGATCTTGATTTAAAAATTAGGGCATTGAACATAAAATACAGGGATTTTTCTCATATCATTTTAAAAATATATATTTTATTGATTTTGTACAGAGAGGAAGAAAGAGAGATAGAGTTAGAAACATCGATGAAAGTCATTGATCAGCTGCCTCTTGCACACCCCCTACTGGGGATGTGCCCACAACCAAGGTACATGCCCTTGACCGGAATCGAACCCGGGTCCCTTCAGTCCCCAAGCCGACGCTCTATCCATTGAGCCAAACCGGTTTCTGCATCATATCATTTTTTTAAAAAAAACAAACAAAAAACCAATGACCCAGTCACTCAGAAGCCAGTGTTGGCCAAACCTGAATGGCGCCCCACGTGCTTCAAAGTTCCCCCCAGGCCTCAGCAAGCCCACTTCACTTGTTTATGCCCCTGCCTGGCCCCAGGGGCCTCCAGGGGTGTGGCTTCTGCTCTAAAGAACAATTCAAAGGAGGTGGTAGTGTAACCGTTGAAGTGGTTCAGGATTTAGTGGCATGCATGTAGGGAAAATACCTACCATGGGGTCTGGCACAGAGCACATGAACTAATGAGTAGATGTTCTCTTATTGGCTCTCTAAAAAACCAGCACATAGCCACCACGACGTCAAGTGGTTGCAGGCTCACGGGCAGGCTCTCCCTCTCGGGATGTTTGCAACATCACACCAGGCCTCTTTTGCCCTGACCTGTGTGCCCTTCTGGAGACTCGGCCAGCTGTCGGGGTGAGAGATAACCTGCTGACCCTACACCGCAGTCGCCTGTGACGGGAGCCATGCCAGGGCTTGAGTTACGAAGCATTCTTCCTCATCTCCTTGCAGACCGTGAAGACAGAGACCATGACTGTCAGCAGCCTGGCCATCAGGAAGAAGATCGAGCCCGAGGCTATGCTGCAGACCAGAGTCACCACTGTGGACGCCCAGGTAACCTGTGCCTCTCAGCGTTCCCTGAGCACAGGCATTAGCATCCGGGGCGGGATCAGAACCGTGACAAAGCCTCTGGGCCAACCCTGGCCACCTTGGCGCCCCACCCCGCCAGAGCCCCCATTTTAGTGCTGATGCTCTCGAGTCCTTTACTGGCCTCCCTGAGCCGTGGGAGTGGGCAGACTACAGCTCTTCGTGCTGCGACTTCCCCATCCATTACGGGGGATCATCACGTCTCTTCTGTCCTCTTCGGAGCTTGGGAAGGTCCAGTGGCTAGTGGATTAGGACGGTGGCTTTCAGATTGGAGAGGCTTCTCTTTTTTGTTGCTTTTCATCCTCACCCCAGGCTACCTTTTCCCATTGATGTTTAGAGGGAGTGGGATGGAGGAAAGGAGGGGGCAGAGAGTGAGAGAGAGCTGGGGACCAAACCTGCAACCTCGGTACTTGCCCTTGACTGGGAGCCCAACCCATGACCCTTCGGTCCGTGGGCTGACGCTCTAACCACTGAGAAAACTGGCCAGGGCGCGACGTTTCTCGATGTATCCCAGGGCCTGCTCAGAAAGAGAAGATGTGAGGCCCAAACCAGCTTCAGTTGCAATGGCTCACAAGGATTCCACATCAGATTGGCAAATTAACAAACTGGGGGAAAAGGAGACCCCAGATCATTGTCTTAGTGAGAAGAAACACACTGAGTGCCCCGGAGAAGGCTGTCGTGAATTGCTACAGGCAGTTCCGAAGTTCCTTCTGTGGTTTTTAAGTTTCAAAAATTGAGATAGTGGTTCCAGGTTCTTCCTGGCCAGAGAGCTGCTTTGCTGAGGGCTTTCTTGCCCTGGACACCAGTCTTTGTCTTAAGAACTGAAGAAAAACGTGAACCAGCACAACATGGGGAGCGCTGTCATTTCCAGAACGTTCCCTCCCACTTTTATAACACGCATAGGGCGTGAAGAGGCTGCTAGTGCAGTGGGCGAGACTCTTGGGTCAGGACTCTTGAGTTCTGACGAGCTGTGACCTCAGGCAACAGGTTTTGTTTTCCCACAGAGAAATGAAAAGAAAACTGAACTGGCCCCCAGTTCCACAACTCAGCAGTCCTTACTGATATCAAAATGCAGTTATGAAAAACAGAACTAAATGAGTGTGTGTTTTTCTGATCCCTCCCAGAAAAATATGCATGTACCAATGTGTATACTTACATATCTAGATATTTAAAAATTCTACAGGAAATAGATTGTTCTCTTTTACACCATACCTTTAAAATATATATATATATATATATATATATATATATATATATATATATATATATATATTATTGATTTTTTTACAAAGAGAAAGAGAGAGGGATAGAGAGTTAGAAACATTGATGAAAGAGAATCATTGATCAGCTGCCTATTGCACACCTCCAACTGGGGATGTGCCCACAACCAAGGTACATGCCCTTGACCAGAATCAAATCTGGGACCTTTCAGTCCGCAGGCTCTATCCACTGAGCCAAACTGGCTTCGGCTTCACCTTACCTTTTAATAATCTTTTTGGAGATCGCTCTTTGCTGGCCCATGTGGACCCACCTTACTCTTCTTAGTTCCACTCAGGAGGGGACCTTGGTTTTCCACGCAGCCTCCCCTCCAGGGACCTTTGCTCATTTTCCTCTTTTGCCGTTAACGCGTGCTGCAGTGCACTCCCTTGTCTATACGTCTTGGCAGAGTCTTCAAAGTTTATATCCCAAGAGTGGATTCCTAGCGATGGAATCACCAGGTCAAAGAACACATTGCACTTGGTCCCTGGGACTGCTGTGAGCCGAAGGGGCAGATGCGGGTGAATCTGGCTTCTCTCCCCTCTCCCCTCCCCCCCCCCTCTCTCTGTGCCCTTCTCTGATGACGCCTTCCTCTGACCACAGGTGGATGGGACTGCCCTAGGAGGGAAGGAATTCATAACCACTGCTCCCTCCATCACCACAGAGACCATATCAACCACCATGGTAAGTAGGACCCAGGAGACCTCTCTCTCTCTCTCTCTCTGACCAGCCCTCCTGCCCCAGAAGTAGCCAGATAACATGCTGACACTGCCAGCTGCTTCAGGATGTCCTCATCTGCCCTCCCTGTGTCAGGTCGGGGACATACAGTCGAATTGTCTGGCACCATAGTGGCCACAAGCCATCTGGTCAGACCTCAGTTTTCCAAATGGAATACGGTGGGCCGTGCAATTCCTGGGCGTCGGTTATTGGGGCCATCGCAGCCCCGCAGCAGTCAAGTCAGGAGGGGGGTGCTACTTGCGAATTGGCAACGCCCGAGGGTTGTACCTGGAAGTCCAACCAGAGGACGCATCCTTCTGGCAGCTGCACATTTTCTTCCGCCTCCGGCCACTTCCTTGCCTCGGTCAGTAGATGGCGCCCAGTGAACCTAACTTGGAAGCTTGGGATTTTAGATGATCTTCGCGGGAGCTGTGTTTCTGCTACCTGTTTGCTGTCTGACCCGTGAAGCGAGGTCCTTGGCCTCAGGTGTCCTCATCTGTAAAAATGGGAAGGATCCCTATCCTAACTGGTTCACAGATTCCGGGGAGAGCCCAGTAACATCCGCACCTTTAACGATGGCACAGAACAAAGAGCATTCGGCACACGGGTTTGGTGCCAGGTAGTGATTCCATTGGTCTTCGCAAAAACTGTGAGGAGGGCGTTCTTTCTTTCCTCTGCCCTTTACAGATGAGGAAACCAGAGTTCAGAGAGGTAACGTGACTTACCCAAGGTCACATACCCAATAAGTGGTCGAGCCAGGGCAAACCCAGGCAATTCTGACTCCAGCTCTGTTCCCTCATCCCCACCATTGTCAGCACGGGCCACATGGGGCTGAAGCTGGGTAGAGACCGGGGCTGGGGCAGGGGCAGGGGCAGGGGCAGGTATCATTGCCTGGGCCAGATCTGTCTTGAGCTGTTGGAAGTTGTTTTCAAGTGTTTTTCTATTGTCAAACCCCTGATCTACACATAGGCAGAAAATTATATTCATTTAGACTACCTGCAGGTAGGTTTTGAGTAAACAAAGACTTGAAGATAAATAAACCCAAACCAGTTACCAGCTTGCACGCTTTCCCCCCAGTCCCTCAGTTCCTCCTCTCTCCTCAGCCCTTTACCACGTGGCATCAGGACGCTTACAGGGCTAAATTTAAATTCATGCTACGGCAAGCAGGCAGTTGCATCATTCATGTACTCATCGTCCATCCATCCATTCATTTGTTCCAAAAACATTTATTAGCCTATATTTTCTGCCCAGTATGGGGATACAGAGTTGAAGAAAAGATACTGCCTGCTAGACTTCATTCACCCAAACATTAATCACGGGCGCATTGGCTGCGCTGTGCCCTGTGTTGAGGACCTGGGCACACAGTGGTGAACAAGGCCCAGCTCTCCCACTTTCTGGCTGGATGACCTCGGGCGAGTTACCTGAACCTCTTCACACCTCAGTTTCCACTCCTATAACGTGGGGGGAGGGCTAATAGCACATCCCTCAGAGGGTTGGTGTGAGGATGAACCAGGATTCATCTGCGCAGAGCCCTCAGAAGAGAGTTTGGCAGCGTAGTAAGTGGTCTGGGATGTGAGCAGCTGTTATTTTTTTCCTGCCTTCCTGGAACAGTGGAGCACAGGAAGAAGAGGTTTGGGTGACACCATAGGAGCCGGAGAAGGCTTTATCTGAGCTATTAATATGTTTGAAACTAAGGTACAATCACAGGAGGAGCCATTCCAGGTAGTGGGAACAGCAGGTGCAAAGGCAGGGATGTGAAGGAGCAGAGCATTTGGTCTGTGACGTGAGATGTCAAGTGTGGGGAGGGAGACAGATAGGGGGGTTTGGGGGAAGGAGAGGCTGAAAAGGAAGGCTGGGCCAGGGCTTGAAGGGCCTCGAACATTATGTATGAAGTTCAAACTTCATCCTGGACACGATGGGGAATTACTTGAATTTTTTTTTAAAGCGGGGACATGGTGTCATCAAAATACGTGTTTGCGTTTTAGACTGGCCACTCTAGCAACCTGTGTGCGGCATGACGGGGGGGCAAACTTCCTTCCCTTGGGGCACGGGTCCCTTTTATTTTTCTTCCTTCCCTCTTCCTCCCCCTCCCTCCTTCCTCCCACTCCTTTCCTTTCCTCAGCAAATATTTACTGAACACCCACGCCGTGTGAAGTACTGCGCCAGGCGCTGAGAATCCAGCCCTGGAGGAGACGGTGTCCCTGAGCCTGTGTGCCATTAAGAGACCTAAAGAGAAAGCAGGGAACTGGTTTAGGGGCTGGTGGAGGGATACCAAGGAGAGGGATGGGGTTAGGAGATACGTGGAGGAGGGAAATACAGGATTTGATCATTGGTGGACTGTTCTGGCCACAGGAGGAGAGATGGGCTGGAGACGCTGCTCACTAGCCCAGCTGTTCTGAAAGCGTGGTCCTGGGAACCCACTAGAAAGGCAGCTTCTTGGGCCTCACCCAGACCTATCGCCTCAGAAACTCTGCGGAGAGGCCCAGCGGTCTGTGCTCTCACAAGTCCTCCAGGTGACGCCCCTCAGGTCTGAGAAGACATACACAGAGGACGGGGGATGCTCTTTAGGAGGAGAGGAGGCAGCAATGAGTCCATGGGGCCTGTGGCGCGTTTCCAAGGGAAAATGTCTAGGATGCAGCTGGTTTTAAAGGCCTAGGGCTCAGGAAAGATCTGGGATGCGGATAAAGGGACAGGGGACAGTGGCCTGGATGAGGAAACCTTGTGTGGCTGAGGTGGTCCAGAGAGAGGATGGGAGGAGGAGAGCCCTGAGTCCCTGGGAGGAAGGAGTCCAGAGCAGAGGAGGTGAGGAGTGAAGACAGTCTGAGAGCTGGGAGAGGCAGGTGGAGCAGGTGCTTTTAAATGACCTGTGTTCCTATGAGTGGCCTCTGTTTTCAGGGTAGAGGTGGAAGCGAGGCTTTGCCTGGGAAAGAGGAAGCAGTGGCACAAGCAGCGGCTTGGGGAGAACGGCCTGAAGGGACTCAGAGTGGCTCCTGGCTGTTTCGTAAGCTGGAGGAAAGGAAGCCTTGACCCCGAAAGGCTGTCCTCCTAAGGCCTGCTTCGAATGCCCCCTTTGGGGACGCTATCTGACAAAGGGGGATGGAGGGCCAGGGGGCCAGGTCACTGCCAGCCTCACCTGGAGGCAGGCGTGGTGAGCATTCAGGGATAAGGCAGACAGAGGGCTCCGTCCTCGCACGCCCCCTGCAGGCAGAGGTCCGGGTGTGCACCACGCACAGACCAGGGCCAGGTTCAGCCCCTGGGCAGCTGCAGAAGGGATACATCTCTGGGCTCCTGAATGGACCAGGCTGAGCCCTGAGATGGTGCAGAAAGGGCAAGGGAGAGGCAGGCAGCCAGGCCTCTTGCCAGACGTGGGCCAGTAAATCTGGAGCCAGTTCCAGGAAAACCTGCCCATCAGAATCCAGTGCAGGACCAGGAGAGCTGGCCCAGGGTGGGCACTCCGAGGGCAGGGGTGTTTGGAAGGAGCGTGCTGGACTGGAGCCTGACGAACGTGGGTCTAAATCCGTGCTCTGTCACTACCTTGCTGGGGAATTTGAACAAGCCGCTTCACATTCCCTGGCCCTCCAGTTTCCAGCTGTAAAGCAAGAATATTAAAATGATTTGTTCTGATGACTAAATGAGATCATGCATCCTTAGGATAATCCTATACAATAAAAGGGTGATATTCAAATAGAAGGATTGGCGGAACAACTGGTCGCTATGATGCATACTGATCACCGGGGGGCAGATGTTCAACTCAGGAACTTTCCCTTGGTGGTCAGTGTGCTCCAGCAGGGGGAGCTCCGCTCAGACAGAAGCTGGACTATGGCTGGCAAGTACAGCGGAAGTGACAGGAGTTTCTCTTGCCTCCACTGCAGTGCTAAGGGTGTCCAACTGACCAATTAAGTCATCAGTTGGACATCCCTCAAGGGCTCCCGGACTGCAAAAGGGCGCAGGCCTGGCTGAGAGACTCCCCACCCCCAAGTGCACAAATGTTGTGCACCGGGCCTCTAGTATCTAGTACAAACCAAGGACTCAGAACACAGTAGTCATTATGATGTTATTAATAGCCAGCTATTAATATCTATTCATACTGTAGATTTCCATTTGCAAAGCTCTTTCTCCTCCCTTAGCCTCATAATGTCTCTGTCTGTGGGAGTAAGGCAGGGGTCCCATTTTAAAAAATATTTTTTAAAACCTTACTATTAGAATAGTTTTAGATTCACAACAAAATGGAGCAGAAGGTAAAGAGATTTTCGGAATGCCCACTGCCCCGCTCACACAGAGCCTCCCCCATCAGCAGCAGCCTCACTAGACTGGGACATTTGCTGCCACTGATGACCCTACGTGGCAGGTGCATTCATGAGGCCCACGGAGGGGAAGTGGCTCTGCCCCAGGTCACGTGGCTAGACCATGGCAGGGCCAGGCCGGGAACCTGCGTGTCTCAGCCCTTTTGTTAGTGCTTCCAGAGAGCGAAACCACGTCTTGTTCACCACAGTGTCCCTCCTGCCAGGCGCTCCTCAAATGTTTGCTGAATGAGTGAGTGAGCGTGTAAGTGTGTGAATGAGTGTGTGCGTAGGGGACGAGTGAGAGGAGATGGAACCAAATGATGCCTTCCGCTCTCTGCCTCTGCTGCCCACCCTGTGGCCATGGCCATCCTGGGGGCCACCCGCCTGAGACTGGCCATCTGAGCACCATTGTTTCCCCAGGAGAACAGTCTCAAGTCCGGGAAGGGGGCAGCTGCCATGATCCCAGGCCCACAGACGGTGGCCACGGAAATCCGTTCTCTTTCTCCGGTAAGTGGGCGAGGCCAGCTCAGGCTAGGGGGCCCCGTGCTGAGTGTGTGGACCGGGTCCGCAGGCAGCCCGCGGCAGGCGTGGCGTGGAGCTCAGACGGTGTCCCTTTCGGAGGCAGCACCAGGAAACGGCATCCTGTCAGAGGCCCGCAGCTTCCCTGGTGCCCACCAGAGTCTCCGTTGCCCTCCGTTCCTCCCCCACCCCAAGCAGGGCGTTGGCAATGTGGGGGTGAAATGGCACCTCCCTCTGGGGGTGCCTGATGTGGTAGCTCTTTTGCATCTGCTCTCCTTACTGACCAGGAGGAGCGATGAATGGATTGGGAGTCCAGAGGCTTGACTTCTGGACCTGGCTCGGTCGGTGACTGCCCCGTGAGCCGAGTCTGTCCCTGTGAGGTCTCCTGCCAATCCTGTGTTCTCCAGACCTGTCACTCGCATCATCCCGCCCACGAGAGAACACGCTCCCGGCTCTGGCAGGGCGGGGGGATTGAGAGGGAGCTGTTTCCACCTTGGATCCCTCTGCTCATTCTTCTAAGATGCCAGGATTCTTAAATTCCAGGGGCTTGTGAGAATTCTGGGCCTTAGGAATCTCGGGTTCTAGGAATCTCAGATTCCAGGCTCTGAGAACTTTGTGGGTCTGGCACTTGGAAGAGTCCAGGATTGCTGAATTCTTAGATCCAGTGGCTCGTAGCACCTTGGCTTCCCAACCCACCTTCATGGGACCCCTCCCTAACTTGTCCCTCGGTGTACACCCCCCCCCACCCCCGCTTCCACCCCGCCACGGCCAGCATCCTCACCTGACCCCGGGCGGGGGGTGGTTGTGTTCCGCAGATCATCGGGAAAGATGTCCTCACCAGCACCTACGGCGCCACCGCGGAAACCCTCTCCACCTCCACCACCACCCATGTCACTAAAGTGAGTAGCAGCAGGCGCCACACGGCCCGGCCCGGCCCAGCTGTGGGGCTTGGGAAGGTCACTGCCGTTGTAACATGGACAGAGATGACCCGTGGTGTTCCCAGCTTCAGGAGCGCCGTGCGCTTGGTCTGCGTTACGGTCTGTCCTGAGCATGGACCTGCTCTTCCACATTGGCAGCCAGGCTTGGGGGACGAGACCATCTCCTTGGAAGTCCTTGTGGACCCTAGCGTTTGCATCTTATAGACCTCAAGTGCCGGAGGGATGTAGAGGGGGCGATAGAAGGAAGGCTCCAAGAGCGAGAAGGATCTTCTGGGGGAAGGGGGTTTGCGCAGGGTCTTGGAAGGCTGGGGAGGACTTGTGAGGGAAGAGTAGAGAGCGGCAGGCGTTCCCCGCAGTGCAGAAGATGGGAGCAGAAACTGTTTGCTTACTCGCTCACTGAGCAGATTTTACTCCGTGAAGGGCTAGGGGAGGGGCCGTAAGCAGTGCATGTTGTGGGACACAGGAGCAGTGCTCTCTGGTAGCAAGAAGCAGCGTAACTGGGAAATCTGGGCTGGGGCCAGAGGAAGCAGAATGGAGACAAACAATTCAAATTCAAAGATGGAGGGAGCCATTGGAAAGCTATTAACGTTTCTTAACTGGGGAGTGAGCCAGTGAGAAGGGGTTTAAGGAGAGGAGATTAGATCCACCAGGATGTGCAGGGTGGTGGGCGAAAGAAGAGAGTGAGTGAATGAGAGACTAGGGGCGGAGGGCCTGGACCAGGGTGGGAGCCAGAGTGGGAGAAGGAAGGGGAATGGCCAAGAAGGGAGGCATTCCTGAGGCATCAGCCGTGACTCAGCCAATGAAGACAGAGGGCTGAAGACCGGCTGGCATGTTCATGACTGAGTGGTCGGAAGGAAGCAGGAGGGATCCCAGGCCTGAAGGAGAGATGCCAGGGAGCCAGGTTGAGGTACAGGGTCTGCTGAGCTATCTGAAGAAGTCTGACAGGTGGCACTGGCCCTGTACACACTGCCTCAGCCCTGCTCCAGGGAGCTGGGTAGGTGCCTCCCTCTCGCTGGCAGGGTTTGCGAGACAGGCCCTGAGGAAGGAGGCAGGCCAGTGGGAAATAGTGGAGCAGAAGCCACACATCCTCCTCTGTAGGACTCCGCACCTCTGTACAGTCCCCAGAAAGCACCCATCCTCACCAGAAGCGTTAGTAAGCAATACTGATGTCACTGAAGCTTTACTGGAAGGTTCTCTACCACACACCCCACCGAATACGGCTCAGAAAACTTTTTCCCAAAGTCCCTCCTGGCCCTGCCAACTGGGAGCCCCCCCCCCCCCCCCACACACACCCCTTCTTTCTGTCTACTTCTGACTCCAGCCAGAACTTCTCTCAGCCACCACCCTCCTAGGCCCACACTTGCCCCTTCAGAAAACAGTGATGGTTACCAGTATCATCAACGAAATTTCTCTTGTACTGTGGTTTGAAGTCATTTAAGGTAGAACCTTGTCACCATTCACATTTCATTCATGTGTTCATTCAACAAACTTGCATTTAGCACCTGTCCTGGTCAGGCTGAACAGAGGGGCGGGGAGGAGGGGATACAGAGATGAACAAAAGACACCCCGTTCCCCAAGAGTTCCAGCCCGGTGAGCAAGGCCAGGTCCCGCACAAAAGGTCGGCAAAGGGCAGAGGCCCGGGACCATGAGAGAGAGGAATCTGGTGTTCGGGGAGCAGTGAGGCAGGAAGGTGGAAGGATTGCCAACCAGGGTCAGGGAGAGCATTTCATCTGGGCTCGGGAGGCCTAGAGGGGAAGTTCGGTGGTTGAGGGGAGTGGTGGCCACCAGGCCAGATCTGCAGTCTGAAGTCCCACAACCAGAAGAGGAAAAATCTGAGGGAGCCAGGAGAGGTGACTGCTGGTTCCAGCCATGCCTTCAAGGGGTACTTGGGACAGGTCCCCTGTCACAGCTGCTGGTCCAGCAGGACCCAAGGCTGACCTCGCCTCCCTCTCCCCCTGCAGACTGTGAAAGGAGGGTTTTCCGAAACGAGGATCGAGAAGCGGATCATTATTACTGGGGACGAAGATGTTGATCAAGACCAGGTATGGGACTGAGAAACGTTACTCCCAGTGGCACTGCCCAGTCCCCAGTCCCCGCCCTATGGGGTCACGCATGGGTGGCTGCCGGTGTGGGCTAAGAAGATGTACACTTTCTGCCCCTCTTATCTAGACAAGGGGGCCCCCAAGGGAAGGGCACTGAGTGGGATTCAGGAGGAGCCAGAAGACTCGGGCTCTGGTCTCTTCCTTTCATTCTTTGACCACTGCCTCTCCCTGGGCCCCCTGTGCCGCAAGCTGTGCACTAGGCAGCTTGTGGGTCTCCACAGTCTCTCGTATTCGACATTCTGCGGCTCCTCACCTTGCTGTTCTTTTCCACCAGGCCCTGGCCCTGGCCATCAAGGAGGCCAAACTTCAGCATCCTGACATGCTGGTAACCAAAGCTGTCGTATACAGAGAAACAGACGCATCCCCGGAGGAGCGGGACAAGAAGCCTCAGGTGAGGCTCAGGAGGCTCAGCGGCGGCGAGAGGGAGGAGGGGACCGTGGCAAGGTCCTCGGAGTGTGGTTTCCATCAGAGAACCTGCCCTGTGGCGTGGTCCCTGTCACAACTTTGAACCCCCCCACCCACCAGACATTATGAGTCACAGTGGGGAAGAAGCCTGGCTCCTTGGTTCTTTGGGGTTGAAGGCCCTAGACCCGGAAAAGTAAATCAGAACTGGTAAGGAAAGGGGAGACAGGCCGGCACCGGTTTGGCTCAGTGGATAGAGCGTTGGCCTGCGGACTGAAAGGTCCCGGGTTCGATTCCGGTCAAGGGCATGTACCTGAGTTGCAGGCACATCCCCAGTGGGGAGTGTGTAAGAGGCAGCTGGTCGATGATTCTCTCTCATCAATGTTTCTAACTCTCTATCCCTCTCTCTTCCTCTGTGAAAAAATCAATAAAATATATTAAAAAAAGAAAAGGGGAGACAGGATTGTCCGTGGGTGCTGAGGTGGGACATATGCTATAGTTAGCACAGTGCCTGGCACATAGTAAGTGCTCGATAGAAGTTAATTAGGACTATTATTACTATTAACTCATAGTAGGCTAACAAAATGCCGCTCATTTGGACTCTGCAATAATCCAGGAAGAATAAAAATTATAAATGGTATACTTTAGGTGTCCCTGGTACTTTGAAAGACATTCCATGAGGCCAGAATCTTGTTTACATCTTATTAGTCGATGAGCAAATTTAAAATACAGCCTGCCCCTGTAAGACAAAACCCCCCAGGGAGCAGCAGAATGAGCAGAAGGAACCCAGCCAGGCTTTGCAGCAGAAACACCTGGCTAGCAGTGTGCCCAGATGGACCTCCCTGGGCCTCAGTTTCCTCATCTACAAACGGAGCGAATCTCTAACGTGGAGCTGCTGTAATAATTAAACAACACTGGTGACGCTTAGTTCGAGCGGCTACCACAGGATACCACAGACACTGGGTGGCTTAAACAACACCCATTTATTTCTCACAGTTATAGGAGCTGGAAAGTTCAAGATCAAGGTGTTGGCCAGCTCAGTTCCTGGTGAGAGCCCACCTTCTGGTTGTGGCAGACAACTGTCTTCTCAAAACTAGGTAACAGGTCACCTATCTTCTTGCCTTTTTTCACTCACAGACTGTCAAGGGCTAACAACATCATACAGATGCGACCCTTCTCTTCTTTCCCAAGATGGAAAAACCGAGGCCCGGGGTCAGGGACTTAGTAAGATGATTGGAACCCAAAACTCCTGCTTCGGAACAGGTCCATTTGGAACAGGTCCCAGGGCTGAGAGCAAAGATAATCTCTATCTCGTCTCTTCTCACAAGGGCACCAACGTCATTCATGAGGACTTCACCCCCATGACCTCAGGCCCCGCCTCCCAGGGCCACCTCCTTGAGGATTAGGGCTTCCACATGTGAATGGGGCTGCACACCGGGGCGGTGTCTCACAGGCAGAAGGTGTGTGGCAGTGTGAGCCTGCTTTCTTGTTCCTTGAGGTTTTGCCATGTTTAGGGATGAGAGTCCTGAGTAAGTCAGACCTTAGCCCAGGGCCCTGGGTTTCCACCTGGGTTTCCATCTTGCTGGCCTTTATCTTTTCTCCCCAAATCCTCCAGGGACATCTCTCTGCTCCATTCTACGCTGCCTCTTTCTGGAAGTTCTTCCTTCTTAAAGTTCTTGCTGTGAGCGTGGAAAGCACGCTTATCTCACACAGTCTTCTCTTCTCTGCAACCTCGCAGGCCTGGCTTCTGCTCTATTATCTCCCACTGGCCTGCCTCCTTTCTCAGGGCCTGTCTCACACACACTGCCAGCGAGAGGGGGGCACTTACCCAGCTCTCTGGAGCTTTCTTAGCTACAAAATTTTAAGTAAATGGGGAAAAAATAATTGGAGCTTTGGGTTCTAACCAGCTTGCTAAGTCATTGAACCTGGACCTCGGATTTGCCATCTTGGGAAAGAAGAGAAGGATCGCATTTTTATGACTTTGTTAGCACTTGACCATTTGTGAGTGAAAAAAAAAAAAAAAGTCAAGAGTGCCATGCCGCCTGTTGCATAGTTTTGGGTAGTTGCTATGTTCAGGGCATTTTGCTGGGCATTGGAAAGACAACAATAAGTAAATGACAGTCCTTGCCCTCAAGGAGATCAGAATAGCATGTGGTTACATTAACAACAGCAATACTAATAACAAGAACAGCCTGTATTTATTGAGCACTTGCTCTATTCTGACCCTTGTTTTGAATTCTATTTATAACTAAGGCAGTCATCGGCAGAGCCCATTTTACAAAGGAGGCAACTGAGGCCTGAAGAGGTTAAGAAATTTGTGCAGAGCTCGTGGGCTGTAGAGTGGGATTTGAACCGGGATCCAGGATTGCAGAGCCCATGGCCTTCACCACTAAGTTTTGGAGTCAAACCTAAGTTGGGATCCCAGGCTCCCGTTTCATTATTTAAACACTGGCACAATGGGGTTTAGTTCCCAGGCACAGCAGGCCCAAGGAGAACAGACAGGAAAAACAAACAAAAGAAGAGCATGTCATCATGACTGACCATTTCTTAGAACTGAGAGGTGATAGGAGGGAGAGTGAACCGAGTGTGATATTAGCCTCTCAGTGTCACAGGAACCTTGGACAGATATCCAGGCCAAAGGGAAAGATACCACTTCCCTGGAAACAAACAAGCAAACATACATGGGCCTTGGAGTCTGACGGATGTGGGTTGTTCAGTTCTCAGCTGCTACTCGCAAGCGCCCTGGCCTTAGACAAGTCTTTCTGTCTTCCTGAGCCATAACAAAGGGCCCACAGTACAGGCTGGCTAAATAACGATCTTGCCATGTATTTGAAGATGGGTGACAAAAGGTTACTAACTTTTCTTATCCTCCTCCTTCCTTTGTGTTTCCCCACCCCCCACTCTACCCCCCACCCCCCACCAACTGGCTCCAGGAATCCTGACCTCTGTGAAGAGATGCTGGCGTTTCTGGTCCAACCCAAGCCAGAGAACCGTGAAGAAGGGGCCTTCGTTCTGGATTCTCCGAGTCAACACCGACGTCCCAGCCGCGACATACTGTCACTGATGAGAGACTGGGAAAGGAAGAGCATATATATATATATATACAGATATATATAGATATAGATTATATATACAGGAAACACTGCATCCTTGCACTGCTTCTGGGGCTGGCCGCCCAGTCGGCCAACAGCAACAGCCAACATCTGAACACCTACATTTCCTTTGCAGACAAATTGAAGAATTGCTGGGATTTTTCAGGAAAAAAAAAATAAAATAAAATTATAATGCCAATAATCCCTCGCTATCCCCTTTGAGGGCCTGCGGAGCGACGCGAGAGCGAGCAGCCCAGGACGACTGCAGGAACGCCACACCGACTGCGCAGCCGTCAGGCGGACGACCCGTGTGTTCTCCCGTGTCTGCTGCCCGGGCCGAGCACAAAGGAAAACCCTTTGGCAGCAAAGCGAGACCAGTCGAAGCAGCAAGACACACGTCGAGAAAGAAAAGACATCCCCCAACTGGAAAGGAGGAGGAGGAGGAACACTGGATTGTTCTTTTATGGGTCTTGACACTGGGCTGCGAAATCCACCTTCCTTTCTCCCGCCTCCCCTCCCCCCCACAAGTCTTGTCGTCATTTTCTGTCTCGACTCCCTCCTCCCAGCCCTGCACCCTTGCCCTCTGTGTCAGGTCCCGCCGAGGGCGCTGCAGATGACTCCTTTAAAACAAGGAAAAGGGAAAGGGAGCAGGGACGGAAAACCGCGCCGCAGGAAGGGAAGTAGACATTGTATGTGTATGGTTCTCATGACGAAGATGCAGCTCGTAGGAGATTTGTATGGAGGATGTGCTTTTAAGTTATGTATATTACATATAATGGGAAACAAATATTAAAATAAACAGTGCTGGTAAGTATGAAGCTGACAGTTTAAAAATGGCAATTACCTGACTGTGATTGATGTATATCCCAAGGTTCCTAGGTCTCACTGAACCGGCCCACCCCAGGAGACCGGGACTCTGGCTGTGGGCTGCTCACCGGAGGAGCTGACGGTTCAGTGTAGTAATTCAGTGTGTGATGTTTGTCATTGGTTGATTGGTGGGGAGGGGAGGGGTTCCCAGATGGAGAAGAGGGAGTTTGGCAAGAAGGAAGCAACACAGCTGTGGTCCAAGATGCCTTCTTTCCCGGGCGGTAGCAACCAGGGCCTGGTCCATGCTCAGATGTGGGGCTCAGAGTGAGGATTTTGCTGCGATCCGCCGGTTCAGTCCCCCTACCTCCTGAGAGGAGCTTGCCTCTGTTTTCAGCCCTCTGTTGTTGTGTGGTTTTTTTTGTTTGTTTGTTTGTTTTGCCACATGTCTTGCCTTTCCCTGGCCAAATCCTGATCACTCACCCCCATCCCAGGGGGCGTGATGCCCTTGGCCATGGCAGAGGATGGTAGCTTTGTCCGGAAAGTCCTGGAAAGTCCCAGCCCGGTCTCTTCCTCTGCCACTCCTGTTCTCTGTCTGAGTCATTCTCCTCTGCCCAGACTGAAGCAGCCTGAAGCAGCCGTGAGAGCAGCCCCGAACACAGCCTAGGCCCTGATAGGTCAAAGCTGAGGATGGAAGGCCGTGCTGCTCCCAGTCTCCATCCACGTGTGCAACCCTGGCCTCGAGCCCTCCCCTTCAGTCAGCATCGGAGCACCCTGCCTGTGCCCTCGGAGACCCAGGAATTTCCTCAAGATCACAGAAGCCCTTGGAGAAAACCCACCAAAAGCCCGGCATTGACACACGCAGGGGCATTCCCAGGCTCTCCTGGCACAAGCTGGCCCCCTGAACTCAATGAGTCCCCTTCTGAGGGAGCGTGTCCCACTGCACTTTAATTTATCAGCCCCATCTCACCTCCCCGGTCCTGTTTCTAAAGCCGTTGATAAACTCACTCAAGAAATATACATTGAGTAACACTTGTGCCCGGCACTATTCTTGGCCTGAGAGAACGTGGGGCACATGGAGGACCTGGGAAGCCCTCTAAGCGAGCCTTACATTTCTAACCAGGCTGTCTCTCCGAGAGCATTTCTGCCCTCTCTCTAATTATTAGACGTCGTCCGTGGATCCCCTCCAGAGAGCCCAGGCTTGTTTGTCAGTTACCCAAGGATAAATATGCTTAGCTGTTTAGCTGGTGCTGACCTGGGACAGAACAGGAAACGGGCATAGTGTGCCGCTGTGGACACACATGGATGGAGGGAGCGCAGAGAGCCCTTTGCCTGGGCATCCCAGGGCAGAATCAACCACACACACCCCGGAGCAGGCCGGGGGCTGCCTCAGTTCCCCCTGAGCGCAACAGCACACTGGGCGCGCACCACGCTTCTCTTCATCCCCGATGAAGTCCTTACAACCTGGGAGCCCCCACTCGTTCTGGGCCAAAAGCTGGTGTAGCTCCACCCTCTCTGGCTCACCCAGAATTTGGCTCAGACACCCCGTCTTTGCCCCAACCAGGCATCCCAAACACATTTCAGAGGGAGAATTCTTTTTTTCTGGGTCTACACCTGCCTACAGACCCTGGGCGTGTGGCTTCAGTGCAGGGCTGAAGTGACCAGGCTTAGCTCATGGGCCAGCTGGGCTTTGTGGCGATCTCTACCCCACCAAGGCTCTGACCTTCCTTCCAGGAGAATCCGTCAGCCACCGGGGAGGAGGGGAGCTGCAAAGCTAAATCTAGGGCACTGGTTCCTCCCCATCCTCTTCACAAAGAATATCGACGTTTGTCTTGTCTGTCGTCAACCTACTTTTCCTTTATTCTTTTTTTATATTTCTCCTTCCTGTGCTGCCTCTCCACCAAGGGACCATGTAGCATAGTGGAGAAAGCCTCCTGGCTCAGTGCCTAGCTCACCGTGTGCCATCGGGCTAGTCTTGGGCTCTCCTTGGGGCCTCAGTTTCCGTCGCACTTGTGAAATGGCTTGGATAAACCAGATGCTCTCCGGGGTCTTTTTTCTGCTCTGCCACCTTACAGACTTTCATTTTATTTTGCTTTCTCTGGATCTTTTCCATCTGAGAGGACAGGAAGTGCCAGGACCTGTTTCGGTGTTTGAATCCTGCAAGCACATTCCAAGACTGGCCTGAAACTGCATGAGCAACATCACTCTAATTTTTTCCCCCAAAAGCACCTTACCAAACAACTGCAATGCTGTCCTGTTCCTTTTTACTCACCCCCCTCTCTTCTCTGGTCCCCACACTCCCCCACCTCAGTGCTCCGTGCTGTATGCGTGTGCTCTCTGTTCTTGTATACTCAATAAAAGTGAAATAAATGTGTTTGATGCTGAACCACAAACTGCCTTGATGTTCTCTCTCTCTCTCTCCCTACCTCCCTCTCTCTTTCTCTCCTTACCTCCCTCTCTCTTCTCCTCCCCGTGACTACCAGTACAAGTTGGCATTGTGAGAAGGGCTACAATTGGAGTTGAGCGATTACAACACTTCCATTTTACTGATACTTGCAGCTCTGAATGTGGTACAGGCTTTGCAATAAGGCAAAGTCCCTGCCTTCGAGGAGCTGTTAGAGACAACTCCTGAGTGATCAGCACCAGAAGGAAATGCAGAGTGGGTCACTAAAGGAGACCGCCTTATTTAAGGTCTCCTTTATATGGGCCCTGGGGGAGTTATTTTTGAGCTGAATGAAGAGAAATGTCCAGAGAGGTGAAGACCTGGGGTGAGAGCATTGTAGGCAGAAGGAAGGTAAGGATGTGGGCCCCAGGACACAGAGGGGCTTGTGCGTGGAGAGGCAGCACGGTCCCATCTCCTCTTCCTGAAAAAAGAGCAGCTGGGTCTCCCTCCAAATCCCTCCATGAAGCCTAGCGGGTAATGTAGACAGCAACCCCCAACTTCAGCCTCTGCCCTCCACCTGCGCACAAGCTGCCGTGTTCTCATACATAATGCCTGTCTCAAAATTAACTCTGTAAAAAGGAAACTATATTCAGCAAATGGAAAGGATGTCTTCATAAAAACAAATGCAAAAATATTAAAATTCACAACGCACAATCCATGTCAAAGTTAAACTCACCCCTTGGACTACCTGACACACTACCTGGTACTAGCTCTTTTCTTTACATTTTACGAAGTGACTCGCCCCAGAACACCTTCCTTTTTAAAAAATTTATTGGCATGACATTGGTTAAGAAAATCATATAGGTTTCAAAGTGTACATTCCTGCGATACATGTTTTATATATTGCATTATGTGCCAGACCATCTTTCTTTTTTAATTTTTTAAAAAATTATCTTTATCGTTGAAAGTATTACAGATGTTGCTTTGCCCCCACCCCATTGACCCCTCTCCTTCCTGTACCCTCCCCTCCCAAGCCTTTTCCACACTATTGTCTGGTCCATGGGCTATGCATATATGCATATAAATTCCCCAGTTAATCTCTCTCCTCTCACCCCAATCCCCACCTTCCCTCTAAAATTTATCAATCTGTTCATGGTTCTATGTGAATCTATTTTGTTCATCAGTTTATTTTGTTTATTGGATTTCACATATGAGAGAGATCATGTGATACTTATCTTTCTCTGACTGGCTTATTTCGCTTAGCATAATACTCTCCAGGTCCATCCATGCTGTTGCAAATGGTAAGAGTTCTTTCTTCTTTTATTGCCACATATTATTCCATTGTGTAAATATATCACAGCTTTTTTATCCACTCATCTGCTATTGGGCCTGTGACCCACAAAGTCAGGCTCCTGGGCCACCTCTAGCTTCAGTGCCCTGCAATCTCTGAGAAGATGAGCCCAGCTGCAACAGGAAGCTCTGAGACCAGGGAGCTCTGTATCTAAGACTGGGAATAGGGAGGGGTGAGGAGGGAGCTGAGCTTCCTCATGCAGGAAATGAAACTGACAGGACAGACTGAAATTGATATCCATGACTGTGACTGATAGAGGCCATCTCTGGTTAATCTTGCAGCAGCTCATTGTGATTAACCATGACTGCAGGG